TGGGGCAGGAGGCCGACGCACCTTCCAAGCTTTCCTGGGCGTCGGATGAGAGCCCGCCGTGCCGCAGCTGGTCGTGCAGGAAGCGGATGATGGCGTAGGCCAGGCGCTTCTTGTTATCCATCTTGGGATGGGTGGAGACAACGCGGGGTTCCAGGAGCTGCAGATCCCAGCCGGGCGTGAGCGTGGGACAGGCCCCCGCAGGGGGTGCCCCACTCCCCAGACAGCACCCCTGCCCTCAGGCGTGCAGGCGGGCAGAGCGCCCGGGCAGTCCTGCCTCCTTGCTCTCACTGAGGACGTGGCTGTGGGCCTGGCAGTCATCACCCTTTCACCAGCTGCGTGGGGAGGGGTGTCATGGAGTCCCCAGGGACTCAAGGGGCCACCTCACATGGGTTGGAGCCCTGTAGGTCTGTGAACTCTGAGTGTCCAAGTCCTGATGCCTCCAAGGGACATGAGGGGTCAGACAGGTGTCATGGGGGGGAGGGGCGAGCAGACTGAAAGGCCCCATGGGGCGCAGTCCCTTTCCAGGCCACCGCAGGGCTGCCTCCAGGCTCCTCTGCAACATGCCGTACTCCCAGGCCAAGAGTGACCCTGCCCCTGGGAACACTGGGCCCGTCTGTGGTTGTCATGCTCGGGGTGCCGGGGGCATTGAGGGGGAGGAGCCAGGAGTGTTGCTCAACCTCCCATAGTACCCACAACAGCCCCCCATAAAGCACGACAGGCCTCAGTACCCGCCTATTGGAGGGATAAATGAGCGGTCTGCTGCCCAAGGGCCTGTGACGCATGGCACACCCTGCTCCCACCACAGAGCGACCCCTGAGGGCACTGTCACTCCCCTTTAGAGAGGAAACAGGTGCAGGATGGGGACCCACGTGCTGCCCAAGGCCTCTGGCATCCACCTGGCAAGCTGGGAGCCATGGCGTGAAGCATGCTGGCCCCCCGAGACATCTCCGGTGGGGTGAGCAGCCCGCACCCCAAGACGCCAAGAAACGGGCCACCTGAGAGTATTTTCGTTAACTCGCCTCTGGCCAGAGATGAGAAGAGCAGGTCCCTACCCCAGGCTTTACGAGCTGGCCGACGGCAGACTGGGCTGATGCCAGCACCTGGTGGCATCCCAAGGTTGGTCGAGGCGAGTGACGCCGGCCACCCGCTCAGCCTGTCTCCCATTCACAGGGAACGATTCTCACCGACAACTGCTTCTTAAAAAAGGGAGTGGGAGCAGCGGGACACATGAGGCCTCACCCACAGACAGGAAGTGGCGACAGAATGTTCTGGAACTGCTGGTGATGGCTGCACAACTCTGAATTTGCTAAAATCTACTGATTTTCACGGAACATGAATTATATCTTGATTTGTTAAAAGGGAAAAACTTGACACAGCTGTGCTTTGCATGGCCAGACGGGGAGCTACGGCCGCCTTGGAAAGCTCTTTGGGGACGGCGGGGACGGCGAGGGGCTTCCCGCCTCCACTTCTGGACACAACGAGCCTGAGCCACACAAGTGCCTTGGGCCTGAGAGTGTCCCTGGAACCAGAAGGTGCCAGAGCCCAGAGGACAAACGGCCAGTACCAGATCCAGAGGCTCTTGGGTGCGACACACAGAGGACCACTACAACCCGCCTGTTTGAAAACGGTGGAGCCCCAAAGGTGAGGCGACCTCCCAGCCGGAGGGTCCCCAGGGCAGCCGGCCAGTCTGTGGCCTCCACGCCAAGGAGACATGCATGCGGCCCACAACGTCGAGAACGCTTTCGCTTTACAGACATGTTCTGACTCAAAGGTGGACACAGCCCAGTGCCCACGGACGGATGACGGATAAACGGAACCCGGTCCAGCCACACGCGGGAATGTCACTCAGCCCTGAAAAGGACTGGCATCCTGACACCCGCAGCAGCGCGAGTGGACCTGGAGGACATTATGCTCAGTGACATAAGCCAGACACAGGACACGTCCCGTGTGACCCCACTCACAGGAGGTTCCCGGGGAGTCAGATTCAGAGACATGGAGTAGGCGGCGGAGCCAGGGGGAGTGTGTGTGTAATGGGGACAGAGTGTCAGCATGGGACGATGACAAAGTCCTGGAGGTGGACGCTGGGGATAGCTGCACGACTTGTGAGTGTGCCTAAGGCCACTGGACGGGAGTTAGGGTGGTCGATTTTATGTTGTGGGATTTTACTATAATTAAAAAAAAATTGTTTTTAAAGGTCCTGTCCTTAGGAAGTGACCCTTTGAGATCCCAAGATGCTGATCCTTTTGCAGTTTGTTCTCAATCACCAGTCAAGTGCCATATCCGGGCAGCTGCCTGCTTAGCTGAGAACGGCTTTTACGTTCCTGCGTCCTCTAAGTGCCCAGGTAGCATCTCTGATTTGGCCTCGTGGTCCCCAAAGCTGACAGCATCTACCACCTGGGCCTTTATGTTTGCTGACGCCCTCCCCTCGAATCACTGAGGGCAACCTGGATGGAGGTGTGCCAGGTCTTACACAGTGGGTCAGAGGTTCAGACAGGTGGCAAGGTGAGCGCACTCGCTGAGCTGCTGGGCTCCTTCCGAGCATTCTGGCACCACTGCTGAGTACGGTTCCCCTGCTGGACCCTCTGGAGCCAGCACTGGCTCACACAAGGTCCGCGCTGGCCTTTGTGGTGTGTGTGTGGTCTCTTCTCCTCCCAGGAGACCCAAATGTCAGCATATCTATTTTCTGCCCTCCCGGACTGAGCTGAGACTGGAGGATGTGATTCCCGAGGGGTCACTGAGGGTTTAGGAACCAGAAAAACAAAGTCACACTCATTGGTGGCACGCTTTCGGATATTCCAATGTCCCTGGCCCTTGGTGCCCCAGGGCCTTTGCTCATGCTGTTCCCAGTGAACTAACCTGTGGCAACTCTCACCTGCCCTCTAGTATAAGCTTGCACTCCTGCCGGGTAGGCATCTACTGGGCTACTGATGCTATTCCCAAAAGTTGGCCCCCTGTGTGACACACTGAGTGTCAACAAGTCGAGGCCCCCCTGGAGCCTGCCCTGGGCCTGGGGTACGGATGATGGGGAGGGACGTCCATTTCCCTGAGGACGAGGTCTGAAGTCATGATGCCTAAGGCGCAGCCATTTCTGCCTGAGGCCAGCTGCACATCATCTTCCCTGTCCCCGTGTGACATCTGGAAGAATCCCAGCCAATGCCCTCACTCTTCTCCTCTGTAGACGGGATAACAGAGGCGTCTTCACAGGCTGTTGGGAAAATTCAGTGGCCTAGTACGGGGTTCCCACGCAGGCACTTTTGCAATGTGGCTCATTCTCTGTGTGAGGGACTTTGCTGTGCACAGGGGGTGGTGACAGCGTCCTAGCATCTACCTATTGTCCCTGGGAGCAGAGTGCAGGGGACAGGAGTACCCCAGGTGAGACCCTGGGTTAAGGGGTCCCACTGACCCCCAGGACCACCTGACCTGCAGAGGTGCCAGGGGGCTGCATGCATTTAAGTATGCAGCCTGAGTGGCAGGGGAGAGGCGACTCGCACGCTGGGGTCCCCTGGAGTGACCGTCCGACCATCGGGGACTTATTCTGGTGTCTAGGTGAGTAGGGATCATATTCAACATTTTTCCAAATAATGAATGCAGGGTCCCCCCTTGGCACTGTGATGCTGAGACGGGCTGTTCTCTGTGGGGCGTTGGGCAGCCTTCCTGGCCCCGCCCACTTGATGCCAGGAACCCCACTGGTGACAACCACAGATGGCTAGACCATCCCCAGGTGAAAATCACCAACAGACGCTTCATGGGAAAAGTACAGGCTCTAGGTCAGCACGAGTCAGATTTTCTGGCCAAATGACTTTGCTGCAAGCTTTCAGAAGTCTCCCGTTTGCTGAAAATTTGGGTTTCAGAAGTACAGAAAAGGGACAGTGGCAGCGGCTGACCCGGCACGGTGCTCGACCAGGTGGTCCTTGGAAACTGCGGCTTCTTGCGCCAGCCAAGACGGCCAGAGCGGAGGGCGGACCGGCTGGCGCACCTGTGCTGCACGTGGGGCTTCTGAGATGGAGAAACCTCTGCTCCCCAGAGCCGGGCCCACCCTCACACCGTGACGGCGCCGGCATCCCTTGGAACAATCACAACGGGCAGGGCCTTGGCTGCTGGACGACATTCTCAAAGGCCTACTGTCTCTCTGAACAGGGAGAGCTGTGTGTGCTCTCGGAAGGCCCGCCCGGGGCGCAGGGTGTGGGCCGAGCCTGGGGAGGGTGGGCGGACGCTGGCCCTGTGGCCCGCGGGCGTCCTGAGCCTGCCCCTCTTTGGTGCCTTCAGAATCCCTTCCAGCGTCCGGTCTACCTTATCATTTTATCATTAAAAAAAAAATGTTAGTCTCTAGTCCTTTTATTTCCCTGCCCAGAACTGACCATTCAAAAGGGAAAAACGGCACACCTTACTAAAAACTAGTAACCCGCCCCCCACACCCCAGGGAGAAGCACCTGCTTTCTGAAGGACGGCCCGCCCCTTCTGTGGGTGCTCGTCCCGCCTCCGAATCCACAGCCCTGTCACAGACACAGTGCCCGCAAGCTGGGGCGGAGCTCCTTCCCCACCAACCTAGGACCCCTCAGGGACCCTAGAAATGCTGCCCCAAAGTTAGAACTCGGGTTTGCGCGCCCCCCCCAAAGTGCGGCA